CGTTTGAGAAGAACATATAGCTAAGTGCAAAGACAAAGAACCGCAGACTGCAGGATAYAGGATAACTTCTGCTAGTAAACGAACTCAACAGAGAGAATAAAAGTTTACATTGGCGCCCAACGTGGGGCACTGGTCGAGTACGTAAGCTATAATCTTGAAATAGACGTCTTTGAGACTTACTTTTCCAGGGTAAGACGTTGGAATTTGAGTGCAGGATGCTTATTGTTGATTATCTAAACGGCATTAAGAACTAAGCTGATTACTGAGGGATAGAGCTGACTTTATTGAGACTGATATTGTCATCTGAAGTTGGATATCACTATTCTGCATAAGTACTTTGATCTTGCAACGAGATTGTTTGTCATCGTTAAGTGCGTTTACAAGACTGTACCACTCCTTTGGATTTGTTAGAAGCTTATTTCAAGTTTAAGACATCCAAGTTGAACATTTACCTTGACTTCACTACATAGGTTTTGACGTTATTAATGATCACAAGCGAAGTTCTGGACATCTTTAAGAAACCAGAGCTAAGTACAAATACCACGATGAATAGTATCCATCAGAAAAGTAAACACTATTCTTCTCTTCGAGAAATGTATCAATTTGAATTGCTAATATATACCATTTGTATGTTTATCTTTAGTCTCTACGGAGTTGAAAGTAATCAATTAACTCTAGTTTATTGTCCAAAGTTTAATAAGCTAAGTGCTTATTTAGAGCCATTCTTAACGTTAGATATCTTACATTCAAGTTCAATAGTTTATGTATTTTTCTGTACATTTGTACAATGTTCGCCACCTTATGTGGAATTTTGTAGTTTCCTTAGTTTATTTAGCTTTCGTTTTGAAGCTAGATTTCGAACAAACGGTTTATTCAATTGCATTTTTCAAGACACAAGTCTTAGAGCTTTAAATAATTGGAAATACCTTTCTACAGCTATTTCTCACCGAACATTTGGGAACATTATTGTATTGAATATTGTATTACATTTACATTGTATTTTCAAATTTTACTTTACATATTTAATTTATTGCATTTCGTTTGTGAGCCATTGTATTTTGACGTCTGTGAGTTCTTGTTGGAGGGGAGGTTGCTTTGTTTTCTCCGCATCGGACTCCAGCTGCGGATGGACGTGCCTCCTTGCCTTGGATATTTTGGTGCACACTAAAATATCCCCTGGTCCGCCCGTATTATTTTTTTCAAGAGGTTCCACAGGTAACCCGGGGAGGGAAGTTGAGGAGTGTGTTGATTGTGAAACGATTGTACTTTCAAGATGGACCGATTTGTCCGCCGATGCCAAGAGGACACGCCCCCGATGTCCTCCAGCTGGGCATGGTGGCCCCTGAAGCGTTAAAGTGGAAAGCTTTTATGGGTATCCACAACGAAATGGGCCATCTTGGCGCGGATCGAACTATCGACTTGGACCGTTCACGATTCTTTTGGTCTAAAATGTCAAAGGATATGCTGGATATGGATTACCTGAAGCTAGATAGATAAAAAAAAGAGTGAATGATGTAGCGTGGGTTCCCTGTGGTAACCATCCCAGTGACTTGTGGGTGGGCTGTGCCCCGGTATTTAAGGCTGGGGGCACGTGTATTCGGGGTTAGTTGGCAGCCGAAGCGTTTGAGAAGAACATATAGCTAAGTGCAAAGACAAAGAACCGCAGACTGCAGGATATAGGATAACTT